GTTTCTTGACTTTTCTTGGTTATTGAAAGTCAAGTTTTTGTTTGAAAAGAAATATAAATAAGAGAGGAAAGTTGAAAGGGACTCTTGAAGTTATCTTTCAAGTTGTTTTAAGGAAAGTAATAAGACTTTATTAGTAGAAAAGTATAAAACTTTTTGCAAACATCTTTTTTGTATATGTTAAGGGATCAGTAAAAAGAGTTTCGTTTATTATATATAGATATAAAATTATAATAGATTATTATTAATCTACATAATGTATATATAATTATATAACTTGTATAAAATTATTGATTTAATTAAAGAATTATATTTTATTGATATTAAATTAATATTTAATAAAAAGCTTGTGTCTAAACCAGTTGTAGTTTAAAAAAATAAAACAAATACTAAATATATTTTACTATTAAAAAAAAGATTATATATTGTTTTAACAAATATAATTAAGCACAAGAATAAATTAAACTACTTTTAATACTATTTATTTAAATAATTATCAACTTAAATACAATTTTGATATTTTACTAAATATACTAATAAAATTTAGATATATTGATTCTCTATTAAAAGAGTAATAAACTAGAAAAATATCAAGCCATTAAATTTACTACTAATAGTAATAGGTATTTTTTGGTAACTTATATAATTGACTTTTTTATAAAATTACTTTGCAAACTGCATGATTGTGAATTAGTTAAAAAAAAAATTACTTTGTAAACTTAAGTATATACTGTATTATATATTTAAAAATTTTTTTACAATGTGATGTTAATAGTTGAAAGGGTATTCACCTGAATTATTAATATCATTTGCAAAGTTGTATTTAGAGTTAGTTAATAAAAATAAATAAGTTAGCTAAAAAAATTGGCTTTAACAATACATAGATATATGTATATAGTTTACAAAATGTTTAATAGCGAATCTGACGAAGGGTTTTAAAATAGATAACCATTTTTTTTTTGCTATTGTTATTAAGAACTTTAAAATATAGTAATAATACTATATCTATTTTAATAGATTTGTTTAAAAACCGGAATAATGCGAAGCCCAATGCTTACTAAATTTAAATAAATGCTAAATAAATATTTATTGTAAAATACATATGATATACAGTATATGACAAATATTCTAAAATCGAAGAAATTTCGCGAAAAGTGTCGGGAAAAATAAATATTACATCGATGTTAACACGGAGTTATGTACCTAATCATAAATAGTCTTATTTCACAATCAGCATACTTTTATCCACAATAGTATAAAGAACCCTCACCCACAAAAAATTTACCTAATATAATACACATATTTTATTTTTACCCAGTATCATCACGAAAACATTGATCCTGCCAGCAGTAAATATATGCTTCTCTAATGATACTCAAATCGGTTATAATTATTTATAACATTATGTAATACAATATAAAACATTCATTTTATTGCAGAAAATAATAAATAATTGATACCTTTTATATAATTAATACTAATGATAATTTTGTTTGTTTTTTTTTTTTTTCTTGAGGTTATAAATTCTGATGAATGAGAAGCCAGGAGTCAGCAAAGAGGAACAATAGGATGCTTGAAGGTTTAGTGAAACTTACATTGTTGTTTTTTGAAAAGCTGGCAGGTTCAACCCACAATCTCAGAAAGTTACTTTACTACATGCCTACTATGTAAATTCAAAGAGCGAGTCGTGTATACGGCTTGTGAATGAATGGTTACTTTCTGTGGTGGACCTTCCATCCGCCGCTTCTCATCCGCCTCCTTAAACTGATCGTAATATATTCCTGATTTCGTGTTATTGAGTTCTCTCGTCCAAGTGAACAGAGTGTGAGCAACTATTTGGATAGTGGGTCGTTCAGATTCAATCGACTTCCAGCAAGATTTCATCAGATCAACATAACATTTAGGTGTTCCGGCGACGATATCCGGACGAATGCCTCTGCATATGTCGAGAAAGAGATTATGATCATGTGGGCGTTCGTAGAAAGGCGGTTTTCCCGAAGACAGTTCCCACATTATCATGGATAGACTAAATATGTCGGACGCTTTGGAGAAAGGATGACCTTGTAAAACTTCTGGCGCCACATACGGCATTACACCATATAGTGTGGATGTGGAAGATGATGATTCGGGTGTTAAATTCGCCGGTCGTGTCAATCCGAAATCGCTTAAATATGTAACAACGATTGGTTCGCTGTCCACGAAACCGAGATTAGAAAGGAGAACATTGCCAGGATGGAGATCTTTATGAATTAGGTTCGCATTGTTGTGCAATTGTGAAAGGCCAATAACAAGGGATTCCAAGATATCCAATTTCTGGGACCACGAGATTTCAGGATTGGATTGCAAGTAGCCTCTTAGATTTCCCATGTTTGCGAGTTCAAGGATTAATGTGAAATCACCTCGTGGTGGTTGTCGTGAAATTCCGTAGTATTGCAGGATATATGAATCACGGAAGTAATGTGAATGCAATTTTAGCTATTTGCATTTTCGCGAAAGCACACAGATGTTAGATTGGTGAGAAGCATTGCTAAAAGAAGCAGGTCACACGGTACCTCATTTAAGAATTCCGGATTAATATTTGCCGAATCGTGGAACACCTTTACAGCGACTTTACGTTCCCCGCATCGGTCCCATGATTTCTTTTCTTCATTCCATTGTCCTCTTGGACCATCTACCCACGTAGCCGAGTAGACAGTGGCGTGACCACCTTTTCCTATTTCTTTCATATCTCGGATCTGTTCGTAGGGGATCCACTCGAGGTAGCTCATATTATAACCAATATTTAATTGAGATTCCTGGATCAACTTATCAATATTCGGATCATCGCTAGTCCAATTGGAGAAATTTTTCTGCAGTTCTTTGGATTCGCAAGCGTTACACCAGAAATTGGAAAGGATGCCGTTCTTATAATCCCAGCTACTGAGATCTCCATTGCATTTTGGACACTTTGGTATTGAGTCGTTTGCTTTTTTAGGGCTAGTAAGGGTTTGTTCTTTCGGGGGAACGAATAAGGAATCATTGTTAAATAGGGAAAGTTCATCCGTGGGAAGGACGATGTTTTTTAATTCGCCATTGTATCGTATTGTTGAATCTGTCGAAGGGGAAGTTGATTGAATTGAGAATGAATAAACGAATGAGATTACAAATGAGATGTCAAAAGATCATCATCTTACCTGCATCTCTCGTCTTCACCTTATTCCTAAAGAAATTAACATAAGATGTTTCGCGTTTATGTTAAAGGTACATATGTAACGATAAACAATGCATGAGGTATATATACTTTGGATATTCTTACCCTGAACGTTTTACGTGCTTATTCAGAAATGACGAAAGTCTTTTGGAAAAGCTCATAACGAAAAAATGATATTCAAAGAAAAATGATTAACATACGCTTATATACGCCCTGATTGTCTTCAATGCTACATGCTACATATACGTAATGTGGTCAAGATCAGATGAACAATCTGTAATACTGTACCCACCACCTAATTTTGGAACGAAAATCACAATGGAAGTGATTGATCTGTCCGATAAGAATAGCTTAAGATACACCACCCAGAATATCCTGACTTGCACACGAAATGTTGTATTTGTATCTTTTGAGTGCCCAAATTTTGTCATCATTACATATGCAGGAGCATCACACTACATGATTACACTAACCGTACGTGAGATTTATACCGTTGTAATTTATATACTGTAATTCGATCACATTTGTCACACCCTTATATACAGATAATAATGGTTAGCCTACCAGTTCTTTGCCTTCGTTCGCATAATGCGGTACGCACATTGTCGATTTTGAAGAAATCTCGCAATACCGCATTATTGCGCAGGGGAGGTCACACCAAGTTATGTCGACTCGGCTAATGACAAATTTCGTTTTTGCCTAGTTCATTTGCCAAAAAAAAAAATAATGGTAAGCTTAACTTGTGCATATAATGGACATTGGGAAACGACGGAGTACGTATTCGGAATGTGTGATTTATCAGAGTTAAAATTGCATGCATCCGTGGAAAATCGATTATCGATTTTTCGAATAAGAAAAATTCACCAAACGATTTCCCGATGAAACGAGTCATTCTTTCATTAATATAAGTAATTTATTTGTTACATGAATATGGTCTAAAACGACCAACAAAAAAGCACGTCAAGTCTTAATTACGGTATACAGCTGATGTCAAATCTACCGAAATCGGCCTAATTTTGTGCGACTCTCTTTATACGCACCCGGACTTGCAAACGATACTGTATATGTTTACACAATCCTTGCGGAAATTCTGACGACGGAATAGAAGTTGAAGTTGATAAAAAGTTTTCCGAATTGCATTTTTTCGATCGTAATGCCTTACCTAACATATCACGATGCTGATATTGACGAGGAGGTGCGTCAGCAATCGATATTCGTCTGTCCTTAATTTCAATTTCTGATTTTCACCTTGCTAACCGACCTATCTCGATGATATTCTTCCAATAGGCGGTCTTATTGTTCAATGACGGATGTTGGCTTAATGACAAGTGCATCGATCTATACTTGGAGTCGGTAATTTATGTTCCTTCGTTGCCGACAGAACGTATACTTATTTTATTTGATTTGCCCCATCAAAGGTATCTCACGCATACGGTTACCCCTGAAGGTAACCCCGAAGACGATATTTTTATTTCTAGTGCAGCCATGACGTTTTTTTTATCCAACCTACCAGGTAAACGGAATGTTTTCTTCGTGTCAAATGTAAATTTTAGTCAAACGTCCCATCCGTCTATAATGCACCAAGTGTACCTTCTAATGATTGAAGATGATGCCGATCCTTCGGTCCTCGCAGCACCACAATTCAACTCTGCCTCGATAGTATTAGCGGTTATAAACAATAACCCAGACACGACTGTCGCTCAAGGAGGTACTCATTGGTCTTTGATGATTTATGTCAGGGACACGAATACGTGCTTTCATTATGATAGCGCATCTGGGATGAATACTGGAGTGGCGAAGAAGGTTGCCAAGAGACTGTTTGGTGTAGAAAGAGGTAAACAATGCTTTAAACATTGAAAACATTGTTGAGAAGGGAGTCTCGAATTTCTTCTTATCTTCGTTCAGTCTTTAATAAGGAGGCGCCGCAACAACGAGACGGTATGCAAATTTAATTTTCATGTCGATATGATATCAACCAATTTACCAGGATTCATTCAACTTTTGTAGGAAATGGTAACATTTAATTCCTTTGATTCGTGTCGTCACCTTTCACATTTGCTAATCACACCAAATTGTTTGTCACATCAGAATGTGGGTTGTACGTGTTATCAATTACAGAACACATCTATCGAAAGCTGGTCAAATATGAGGAAGAATCGAAGTTTTCCCCTAGCAACGGGGAGGAACCAAAGTACCAGAAAGAACTGTTTGAAGTCGAATTTGATGAGATTCCAGGTGGAGATGCGATGAGAAGAAAGTGTAAAGAAATTATTGCAGTGCTTAAAAGGGAGTACGATATTGGTAAAGGAAAGTTGACTGGTGGACGGTTGAAAGGATCATGAAAATACCGATGTCGAAAGGTCGAACAGATCGATCGGGCGGGCAATAGCTTCATCTTTACGTTACCTAAATAGCTTTCCATCGACATGCAATGTTTCAATTTTGAGACTGGGCAAATGAATCTATCTAAAATTAATAAAAATTCAACATAAGTTTTTTGGGATGCAATGAAGGATTTTAATAAACTATCTTGAGTAATATATGGATGTTAAATTATCATCATCGTGCGATATGGTAGCAAGGGTCGTGGACTTTGCGCTGAAAGTCGTGGTGGCTCGTTGGAAAATTAAGCTTATGGCAATGGATGAAAGTGAAAGATCCCTAGATCTCCTCTTTTGACGAATTCATTGCATCACGTTTGCCCTTAACGACATCCACAGACAACAGAAGAGGGATAGGTAATGAAACGAGAATAAATAGTAAAACAAATCCATATCTAATTTCGTGAGTGATATCTGTAAGAAAACAAAAAAAAGAGATATGCATATCGATTGACTTTTGTAGATAACGAAATATGGATTGCCAACAGAATCGTTTGGTTAGATGCGTTAACTTGCCTGTGATAATGGCCACCAAGGCCGGCCCCAGCCAACTCGACCCCTTGTCCGTAATTGCGTATAAAGCAAAGAATTCTGTCTCTCGGCCGCGAGGAACCAATTCGCCAAACAAGGTTCTGCAGTAACTCTGTATGGTTCCGATCACCAAACCAAACCACGCGGCGAAAAAATAAAGCTCCGTCGCCGACTTCAGCCCTCCGATTGGCAACACAAATCCGAGGCAACCATAGATCGGTATAAACAACAGCATAACGGTTAATAATATTACTGTTTGTTTGGTTGTAAAGTGCAGTAACCTCTGTATTTTTGGAAACACCATCGTCCCTACCACCCCCGTCGCCGGCGCTATTATGGCTATTATTATGAGACCGGCTGCGGGAATATGCAACGTCGTCTTGGCAAACAGTAAAGCAACCGAAGATATTGTGGTGTATCCTATTTGCGTCATAATAAAATCATCTATTGCAAGTTGATTTATAGAATGCAATATTGATAGGAAAATGAAATACCATCGGATATAAAAAACCAAGCCATCAGGAATCTAAATGACATCTCCAATTTTTTTGCGTGCTTGATTGTTTTCCATAATCGTATCCACGCAAATGTAATGTAATCTAACCACCCGACTTGTTTCCCATCGCCCGCGAACAATGGTGGTCCCGGTCTAGGTCGCAACCACTTGGCGACCAGCAGGGAGAATAAAAACCACCATACTCCTGACAAAAACACTCCAATCTGTAAACTGAAAATCGACGAGTTCAAGAGGAACGAGATGATCAAACATATTACCAAAAGTATTATTCCTCCAACATAACCAGAAGCGAAACCCCGTGTAGAAATATGTGTGGAGATGTGATCTTTCGTTTTCATCAAATCTTCCGAAAGCTTGGACAATTCCGGATCTGATGATTGGGCGTCCAAAAGATTGACGATCGAGTGTCGGTCACGGGTTGTCAAGAGACTTGTCTCTTCGAGGCTAATGTGATCTTCGTCCATATTGCTGACCCCCTCATCCACCAGTGTGCGTTGGCTACTTATAATATCATGTGACCCAATCTTGTCGGAAATCACTCTTACGTCTCGATGGTTTCTCACCAACACCGGTAAAAATCCATTGAAGCAGACAAAGGATGCACCGAAACAAACATTTCCTACGATGGCGAAAACTCCGGCCAGTAAAAACATACTAGGTGTCACAAACAAGAACAACATCGCCGAAACGCTTCCCGCAAAAGCGAAGCTTAATAACAAGGTTTTACGCATCGTTCCATGGTCCGCGGTTGCGCCAATCGATATTGCGGTAATTGCCTGCAGGACCACGCTAATTGAGAACGTGTACAAACTATACGAGGCCGTATCGACCCACAACCCAAGAATGTTCACCACGCAGCGAATTTCCTCCGAAACAAAGAGTGCAGTGGAATTTTTGCAAGGAATTGAGTGATCCACATCTAATACCCCCTTTTCAAATGAAAACTGCTCTAAAATGAGGGGTATAAAGCTTGTTAATGATACTACCGCAAAAACCTCACACGCAAAGGCATAAAGGTACCTGCGGATATAAACAAAAAAAAAAAAAGAAAGAAAGAAGGAAGGAAAAAAAGAAGGCGGTTTGCGCATTTAATCAATTATCGTAGTAGTCGTAGGTCATTTTGTCCAAATGGTAAGTTTTTACCATGCGTATAATTCTTTATCGCTCAGGATAGGTTCTTGGGTTTCTGCGACATCAAGTCGATCGTCCGTCAAGATGGAATCTTGGTCATGAAGTTCACTGTCCAACTCAACTTCTGTATTGGTTTCCGTCATCCTCGAAATGAAATTCCAAAAAATCGGTAAATCCCCACCAATTTATGAATTTTTCACGCACAACGATTTTGATGTTACACGGTGATGCTACCTCTGAAATTAATTGTGGATCCGCCCAAAAATACAGAAAGTGCACAAAAATGCCTACCTCATCGACTTCTCAGAATTTACGTGACAAAAATATAGCGGAACCAGATTCACCTTCACGAACGCCCACAAAAATATCAACAGGCGACTCCATAGATTTTTCCGCGTTCTTGGCTAAAGAATTTAACGTCAAGTCATGGATAAACGAAGCGTTATCAAGTGCCACATTGTACTCTTTGCCGGATGAAAGTAAGGAACAGTCTCGGTCCAATGAACAGGAATTGTTAACATTGGAAAGCCACGCATCGGCAATTGCAGAGAAGCTTCAACACCTGAATCAAGGGGTCTCATTTCGATTAGAAAATGCCGTTGAAGAGGTGATGAAGAACATGCCGACCATAATGTCCGAACTGCAAATCATGCATCAGAACTCGGAAAATTTAAAACAAGGAATTACACTGGTCAAGTCATCACTTGGAAACATTGACAATAACACCGGAAAAGCGATCGAACGACTTAAATACCTGGATTTGGTTAAAACACGCATGGAATTATCGAGAAATGTATTGAGGGAGGCCGAGAATTGGAGTAATCTGGAAGCCGAGGCGAGCACCATATTTGCTTCGCAGGATTATCAAAAGGCTGCCGTCAGACTGCAAGAGGCCGAAAAGAGTTTGGTTATCTTTCTTAACACGCCGGAGTATGAGGAAAGAAGAAAATTGCTCACCGAATTACAAAATCAATTAGAGGCAACTGTGAGTCCTCAACTCGTAGCTGCCCTTAGCCAACATGACATAAGTGCTTGCCAAAAGTTTTATTTGATATTTAGTCAGATCGGAAGGAAGAAAGAATTTTGCAATTATTACTATGGATCGAGGAAAGCCCCTTTGGTAAAAATGTGGCAGAATGCTACTTTCGTAGATATCAACCAAGATGTTATAGTTACCACGCCCACCACCATCACCATGAACGCCACCACTACCGCTTCCGCCACAACCAACATTCACGCACCACAAGATCAACCATTGTCTCCTAAAGCACATAAAAAATTCGTTGAACTTTGGCAAGAATTTCTTCAAGAGTTATTTGTGGTGCTGAACGAGGAATATACCTGGTGTGGGAACGTGTTTCCGGATACCAATGAGACTCTGATAGCGCTGGTTGAAAATATTTTTAATTCACTGAAACCTTCGTTGAGTACTCGGTTAGCCGGTCTGGTAGAACATTATAATGACCAATGCCTGCCCGAAATTATTAATGCCTTCATTGTCAGCGAAAATTTCGGGAGACAAATGGAAAGAGTATTATTCAATCCTATTCAAATTGGATCGGCTGGAAGTCGAAGTTTGACAGCAGTCAACGGAGGCGTTGGTAGCGTCACCGAGAACCTTGGCTCGAAAGTGAATCTCATCACATGGGGCCAAGTAGTGTTCGAACCCTTCTTGGAATATCAGCATGATTATTCCGAATACGAGAAAAAATACTTGGTGAATATGTTGAAGCGAACTATTGAAGAAAAGAGGAAGACTGGATTCGCGGACCTGGCTAGAGTTATGTCCGAGAATGTTGGAAAAATATTTTTATTAGCCGAGAACAGTTTGCAAAGATGTATGGCATTTACCCACGGATTTTCAGGTGTCGGTATTGTGGACGTGTTAAATTGCTATTTCTCGGAATTTGTTAAGGAGTATCAGACTTTATTGGACCAACTGCGCGTAGATTGTGGATTGAAAGAAAATATCCGGTCATCCGTATCCGCCACAAGCACATCACTGACACAGGATTATTTTGACTTTGATCAGGATAGATTGCAACAGGAAGATTGGTCGAATTTCCAGATAGGCTTGAGGTTACTGGCGACATGTAGATTGGCCTCGGACAGATTGAATACGTTTGAGGTGATGACAAAGATGACATTGTCTAATGTGCTAAATTTAATTGAGCATGATCAACTCGACGACCATTTAGAGTGGTATGAACGAAGAGCACAAACAATTTCCGATTCCAACAAACTATTTTCGATCGGTACACAATCCTCGTTATATCTTCTCAAGCAATCACCGTTGAATAGCTATCAGCTTTATGAACTCATGTCCAATCTAGAATCTCGTCAACTGTTGGAAACGTCAATAAGGTCGATTGGAACTTTCGTAAGGTCATGTCAACGATTCGTATATGATACGATATTTTTACCGATAGTCAAACATTTAGTCAATCTACCGATGATGGAAATCTGGAAAGCAACGACCGAACCTGTGCAGGTGTCGCCTTTCAATTTGGAGCTACCGACCTTTAGCTTATCGCCATCAGAATATATTACACGGGTTGGTGAACACTTGTTGACTTTACCACAACAATTTGAAGTTTATGCGGATGACAAGTCACTGGCATTCTCCATCAAATCATTACCTTATAGTGATGAGGTACCCATGCAGTCGATTGAAGTTAAAGAAGAAATTGGAAAAAAAGACATAGCCAGCAAGGATGCTACTACTACTGGTACCCTGAAAGATCCTTTGGATGTAGAGGAGTTACAACCCGCGATCACCATTGCGAGCGAAGGTGGCGGTGTAACATTACCGACTGACGAAGATAAAATTAATAGTAATCTTTCTATGATTTCCACATCATCATCATCACAATTGGTTGATCAGGAAGAAATATCAACCGAAGAGGTTACCCACGCATGGATAACCTCGGTTGCGCGAGGAACGATGCATGCGTTATTGGAGAGGATACTGGCGATTCCACAATTATCGTCACATGGCGCGCAACAGTTGTTAACCGATCTAGGCTACCTGACGAACGTTCTGAGCGCGTTGGATATCTCTCTAACACGAGAATTATATATGACCGTCAAAGTATTGGAGATGGATGAAGACAGGGTGTTTAAGCTGTTGCGCGGAAAGATTAATGTCGGTTATGATGGTCTAGGTGTTGTAACAGATGGTGCTGTGAGTGTCGGCGAAGAGGGCGAGTTTACAGATGCGGGTGATAGAGAGATACTAGTGAAGGTTGCTGGAGTTAGGGGTATTAGACTATTGAACTTTGTGTTTTAGAAACGATGCATAGGTCAGAGATTTATGAATTGAAATTTTGATATGACTAGTTAATTTTTAATTATTTTATTTTATTTTGTGGAATTATGTTGAGAGCCTCGAGTGTACCTAAATGGAAATAGAGCATATAGTTAAATGAAATACTCCAATATGCGGTGCAAATTTAGATAAATTGTTTAGAAAAAAGTAATTTATATCTGTATAATATGAGAATGCTAGAATTTACACGTGCACAATAAATTGTTAAAATGCATAGTACATTGATGATTTCAATAGATACAGTATTTGTTGGTTCTGTATCGATTTACATTTTTTTTTTTAGATACTAGCTTATCCTTGCACCCTGGCAAGCACTTTATTATAATAAAGATAATAACCAGAGACAACTGGTATGAATAATTATCAATATTGTCATAGATCACCAAATAATACAAATAGAGAATTATTTATGTTTCACCCAATTAGAATAAAATAACTACATGATCATTTAGTATTAATACTTTTTTTTATTATAACAAAACTTAACCTAGTAAAAAACTGGGCCCTCTTATATCACAGCACTTCTTAGGGTCTAAACTTACCAAGTAGCTTATTGCTATTTCAATAAAGGAAAACCAATATGTTAATGATTCATCTAAGTATCCAGTACTACTGGTATTAGGGATTCCTTATATAAAACCTTAACTTTACTAGTATTAAATAAAAAATTTAAAAGAGAAAAAGGTATATTTAAATCTTGTTACAATAATATTAATATGTAATTAAGTGAAAGGTCTATTTATAATAAGAGAATAGAAGTATCAAAACCTTTCAAAAAATATTATTCTAGTAATAATGTTATGTTGCTAAATAGAAAATATAAAAGAAACTTGATTATCTATCTGATATAATTTATTCTTGCTTTGTTTTTTTTTTTTAAACCCATAATCAGATCAGTACTATATATTTATTAATCAATATGAAAACTAATAGAGATACATAGGGCAATTGTATTATGGTTAAACTAAAACTTATACTAATTCACTTATCAATGACTTTCAATTCTCAAAAGAGTTTTAGCCTCTAGGTGTAATTTTGGGAATAATATTTTGACCTATAGTAGATTTTGGATAAATACTCTCTTAATTTACATATTATTGTCAATAGATTGTTACTACTTATTATCTTTCAAAAAACTAATTTCAAGAAACTACAAAAAAAAAAAATAAATAAAAGAAAGGGTATATTTAAAAATACACAATTATATAACATAAAAACAAAAAGAATAAAAAAAAACACTTCATATCTTTCAAATAATCTTTACTAGAAATCTCTTTTTATTAGGAATCAATCTTTCTAGAATATCCTTCTTCTTTCTAACCATTTGAGAAACTTATCTATTCATAATCTAAATTATTTTTTTGTGACTATCTAATATATTTATCACTTATTCAGATTCAATATCTTGCTTAATACTTCCATTTTTTCAATCTTGATTTTATATTCATCTATATAAAACAAAATGACTAAAGTTGAATTCCAAATTCTTATATAACTTTTATGTCTTATTGTGTAACTCCCAATATTTTTCAATAGCTATACCTAGTTAAAGGAATTTTATTAGTAGATATTGAAAAAATATATTCAGATATATAGTATAAAGTGACTGATAGGAACTATTTCATATTTTTTACTAATATTGTAATTAAATTTATATTTAATCAGTATATCCAAGTGGAATTGCTTTTAAAAAAACAATTTTTAAAAAAAGAATTAAAGAAGTGAATTATAATAATTAAAGAAATAATAAAGAATAGATTTATCAAAATTTTTCAAACAGTATTGTACAGTATTTCACAAGAAATATAATTTGTTCAGAACCCATGTTTATTAATAAATTCAAAAAACCAGGACAATTCCTTTAATCTTAAAATCAAAAAAAGATATCATATTTTCTAAAAGACAAGTAAAGTTATTCCTATAAACTTCCAAAGTCAAGCAAAATTATTATCAAACTTTTAAAGTCAAATAAAGTTATCTATTAACTTATCCTACTTTGAGTAAATTATGACTGCTTATATATTTGTAAAAATGAATTACTTAAGCCACTTTAATCTTCTAGGCCTCCTGAACTATTTGATATATAATAAATTATATCATATACTATATTTGATAAAATGATTTATACTAATTAAATATCAATAAGAACATCAAAGAATATCAAAAAAATAATTATAAATAAATAGATAAACATAAAAATAGAATAAAGATTCTGACTAAAAATAATTATTTAATAGTATTAGAAACTATTTTTATTATATTTTATCCTTTTTAAAAGGTAAATTTCTTTGAATCAAGTTTACTTATATAAATAATAAAATTATTTTAATAAATTTTATTAGCATTTCAAAGAGACAGTTCATGAATAAGAACTTTGTTTGATAGATTTGGTTTGAATTGCCTTGAAATATTTCATAGATACATCTAGTTGTGCAATAGTAATATAAGAATTTTGAAGTGGATTTTTCTGAAGATACTATTGTCACAATTGTTGGAAATTCTGGATAGTATTCAATAGATCTCTCAAATAGTATAAATTGTTCAAAGTAATGATACAATCAGATCATTATATATATTGTTTAATTTTCAAAAGAATATTTTTAATATTATCTTTTATTGAAATAATAAATTGTATGAAATTTATATTGATTTGGAGTTTTATTTAAAATAAATAATATAATGTATCTATTTTAAATAAGTCCAATTTTCTTGTAGCTGATTATTGATGGTTGAGTTTGAATATTTTTTATGGAAACTTTTTTATATAGATATTCCTTAAATATATTTTAAAATTGTACCATTGATTATTAATTTATCTTAATTTGATTTTGTATAATAACTTGTTCAACTAATTATCAGTTTTTGTTCAACATTAAATAAAGAGGCTTTATAAACAGTTTATTACTAATTTTCATATTTCATATCTCAATTTTCTTGAAAATGTCTTATATTAACAGACTTGAGTATACTATTAAACATTCTAATTTAGTAGTCAGTTATATCATATTGATGCAAGAAAAAATAAAATTTCTTGATTGGACTTTACTTCACTGTTATTTTTCAAAATATAAAAAGGAATTGGTCTTTCTTTAAACTAAACTTTCCATACTTTGTGAGCAATTTAGAGCTCAAATAATATCTTGTAGTGGCTTTATTTTTATGATCAAAAAGCTATATTCTAATATTGGTAACAAATAACTTCACTTCTTCAAGTAAACTCAAGATAGTTGACTTTAAAGCTTTCTTAATGATTAGTAGTGTGCTCAGAAATTCAAATACTTTGTTTCCATATAGAAGAACTGCAGATTCAATTAATACAAGTATATATTCTTTCAAATTCATCTTTCTTTAGAGCCATCAATAAGTGACAAATAAGTTTAATTGATCCTTTTTTTTGAAGTATTTTCTTAGCTTGACAATTCTTATATCTAAATCAAAAATCAACTAATAATTCTAATTCTCCTCAAGTTTTAAATAATTTATCTTTTAGAAAAAGAAATCAAATAATTAATTTTGTTATTTTTTTTTTAATAAAAATTTCTTTTGTTGCTTGATACTAAAATATTTTATTATTACTATGATATTTTATGAATTGGTAACTCATAATATAAGGTAATGTTTTGAGAATCCTTATTTCATATTTGTATTTTTTATTCCTAATAGATATTATATGCCTTATTACTTACACATAATTGTTATAACTATTTAATCTTATTGTTAAATCTAAAGAAGATAAATTAATAAGCTAAGATAAAAAGAACTATAATTAAATAAAATATAATATAATAAAAAAAAAATAACTAAAATAAATGACTTTTTGAATACTATAGCCTCAAATATTATCCTATACTTGATGCTATGTAGCTGATCAACTTAAAGATAAATGTTATAGATTTTCTATATTTTCAAAAAACTAAGGTTATCTATAATTATATATATGGATTTATTTTTTTTTAAACCCATAGGCAGGCCAGTATTGTGTGTTTATTAATTATTAAGAAAACTGATTGAGATATATAGGGCAATTGTGTCATAGAAAAACTAAAAGACTTATAATGATACACTTGTCAATGGCTTTCAATTCTCAAAAGAGCTTCAGTCTCTAAGTGCAACCTTGGGGATAATATTTTGCTTTGAACTAAGTTTTGGGTAAAGACCCTTCTAACTTATCCATCATTGCTAGTAGATTGTTACTGCTTATTATCCTCCAAAGAATTGAATTCAAAAAACTACAAAAGGGGAAAGGAAAAATAAAAGAAAAAGGTGATATCTAAAAATATGCAAATGCACTGCATGAAAATGAAAAGAAAAAAAGAAATTTAAAATTGCTTCATATTTTTCAAAGAACCTCTGCTAAAAACTTCTTCTTATTAAGAATCAATCCTTCTGGGATATTTTTCTTCTTCTTGACCATCTGAGAAACTTATCTATTCATACTCTTGATTATTTTTTTGTGACCATTTGAGATATTTATCACCTACTCAAATCCAGTGTCTTATTTAACACTTTCTTTCTTTCGATCTTGATTTTGTATCTACCCATGTAGAACAAAATGGCTAATGGTGGATTCTAGGTTCTTATGTGACTTTTCAGTTTTGTTATGTAACTTTTGATATCTTCTAGCAATTATACCTAGTTAAAGAAATTTTATTGATGTATATCTTTCATTACCCAAAAAGTCAAATTCCTCAACAGTCTTTTTGCCTTGTAATGGTGGGAGAGTCTCACAGAGTATGGAGATCCTTGTCAGTTATGATATTATTATATAACATCTAGGAAAATGCATTCTCAATCCTAAAGAAGGACAGTGTTTTATATTTTTCTGCTTTTCAATTTTACAACCTAACCAGGATAAGGAAATAACCTTCTTTATGTACTTTATCTAACTGGAATGATAAGAAGTTGAAGACCTTGACTTGAACAAATAACCACCTTTTTATTATCTAGGGAATTTAGTGCCT